AATATATATATATATATATATATATATTTAAGAAATTAATATTTTTATTCAGCAGTGATTCATTAAATTGATTAAAAGTGACATTTATAATGTTACAAAATATTTCTATTTTAAATAAATGCTGTTCTGTTGAACTTGATGTTCATCAGTGAATTCTGAAAAAAGTATCACCGTTTCCACAAAAATATGCAGATTTCTGAAGGATCATGTGACACTGAAGCAAGGTTATTATAGTTAACTAATACAAAAAAAATAAAAACATTAACTGGAATAAAATAAAATATAAAAAACTTTTATAATAAACTTTTATAAAATATAAAAAAAACTTTTTTTTTATTTCAACCACTTGCCAGGGCAACATTTCTCATTTAATTTGGTTTAACTAAAATAACTAAAACAGAAAAATTTATAATAAAAAAAAAAACTATTAAACAAACAAAAAAAAAGATTAAAAACTATTAACTATATAAAAAAAAACTACTACAAATAACAAAAAACCACAACAAAAAATACTACAACTTTAACCAAAATTAAAAACTCAAAATGAAAACAAACTAAATCAAAATTTAAATAAAAACTATAATAGCACTGTGACTGAAGACTGGCATAATGGTTGCAGAAAATTCAGCTTTGCCACCACAGGAATAAATTAAATTTTAAGACAGGGTTTCTGCAGGATTTTTAAGCTCGAATTTAAGACTTTTTAAGACCTTTTTTAAGACCTGCACGAATAAAATTAATACCATATGAGCGGGTAACATTAAACTGTAAAATGACTGTAAAAAGCATGATTTACAGTTCAGACACAAGTTTTCACAAAAACAAAAAGTTTTATAAAATGATACACCTCACATTTCAGCCTTTAAACCATTTTTAATAAAATGGATGAGTCAAAAGTATTAATTATTATATTATTTTAAACAATGATTATCAATAAATTATTATATTAATTAAATAACACAAATACATTTTACTGTTTAGATTTTTATAATGCATTATCTTCTTATCGATCCACCAGTTCACATTTACAGCTCTGCGTGTTTGCAGGGTAAAAGCATGGGTCGATTTTCACATTGGTCTGAACAAAAACAACCCCGATACTGTGTTCCTGCAGGTTCAGGACCGCAGTTCTACTAGAACGGCATTTCTACTAGGACCCTATTTTTTGTGACGGCGCCATCTAGCCAATTCTATTCCAACAGAGGAGACCTGGTTCAAACATCAAACAAACAGATGCAAAGATTAGATCCATGGAAACTATTAAATTTTTTTTCTTTCCATCTTATTTTTATAGTAAGAGCTGCAATGAACTTGAGTGTGTGAGGCGATGTTTAGTCTATTTAGCTGTGCAAAACAGTTCACTGTGCTGCTGGATGTTGTAAACTAGTATTTGTATTCAAATTATTTAAAATTTATTAACATACTAATAAACTCACTAATTTGTACCGCATACATACATACAAAAAAAAAAAAAAACTATAGGGTCCTAGAAATGCCGTCCCTGAAACTGCAGCCTCCGGTACTGCAGGAATAACCTACTCCAATAAAACAAACAGGCTTATTGAAAATGCACATTCATTCTCTACCAGCAGGAGGCGCTTTTGGAACGGCACAAATAGAACCCCAGTTTCCCCGGTAACGGAAGTAAACAAAGCAGGCAGCACCGGACTCTGAAACATGCAGCGCTCATGTTTATTTAACGAAATCATAGCCTTTTGAAGTTTAATCGTCACATTAAGCCATATCGCAATTCTGGTCTTTCAGTCCCCAAATGTAATACCTTCTGAAATCATAATAAAGACTTTCTTGAACAATGTAAGACGTTTACTGGCCTTAAATTTGATACCACTAAATTTAAGACTTTTTAAGGACCCATGGGAACCCTGTAAGATATATTCAAAAAGCAATATTAATTTTTACTGTATTTTTGATCAAATAAATACAGCCTTGGTGAGCAGAAGAGACTCTTTCAAAAACACTGACCCCAAAACTTTTTAACGGTAATGTATATAAATAATTAAAGATTATGCATATTTCACAAAACTACGAGCAGAACTGACTTGGACTCTTCTCCTCCACCAGGTCACAGGCACACAGCAGATCCGAGTCGATGGAGATTGGCTTCTGTCGGATCCAGAACTTTGTGCTTGTCTTCTGATTGGTGACAGGATCGATCTCGACCTTTTCACCAGAAATTCCTGGAAAAGTGAGGTGGTTTTATCTTAAAAATCACTTATAGATACATTTCAACTGTCTGTTTTTATCAAAAGAGTTTACATAAAAACGACGCCCAGGTTTTAAAGATTAACAGGTGTGTGGGTTTATTTCCCTGTTATTTAAATATGAAAGGAGAACCAACCCAGACTGACACTGATTCTGTAGGAAACGCTGTGAGAGAGAGAGGTCTGGATTATTATTACAGGTCAATCTCAGAAGCACACACACACACACACACAGTACATCCATAATGGATGTGACAGCTGTCAATCGTTCACATGACTTAAAAAAAAATAGCATGCAAACATCAGTGTTTCAGAAAAAAATTTCAGCCTGTCAATCACAGTGAAATTCCTAAAGAGATTCCCTGGCTCACACAGGCTTCCTGCGCCTGGAGCGCTGCTGTAATTGGGATGGAGCTGTGACTGTAGCAACTGTCAAGTGTGCTGGATTTTTTTTTGTGTGTGTTTTCACAAAATAGGACTGTGTTTGATCTGAAGACCATCTGCCAAACTTTTGTTCATGAGTTGAGTCACGCGCTTTGAGAGGTGGAGAAACTGAGAAGTCAGGAGAAGCAAGGAAGAACTGGAGAGACTTTCTCAAGTCTCTCTCTCTCTTTATATATAAGTTTATTTATAAGTCTTAGTTATATTATTTATGTAAAATATATAAATAATAATATCATTTTCTATATTATAATAGTATAATATAAGCTAAAATATAACTATAATACACACATATGTATATATTAATATATTATTATATTATATAAATAAATATAAATAATAAATAAAAATAAATACAATCTTCCATGTTCTAATATAAAAACTATATAACAATTATAGCATAGTACTTTATATA